ATATTGAAACCAGATGAGCGCAAGAAGTTGTTGAGAGACAGGGGAAGCCGAGATATTGAAACCAAATGCATGCAGGAAGTTGCTGAGAGGCACAGGGGCGCAGGAGAAATTCGGATATTGAAACAGCATAAAGGCAAGAAGTTGTGGAGAGGCCAATGGGGGGAAACCTACATATGAAACCAAATGGATGCAGGAAGTTGAAAGGCACAGGGAGGGAAGAGAAAGTTAGATATTAGAACAAGATGAGCGCAATAAGTTGCTGAGAGCTGACGGGTGAAGCCTAGACATTGAACCCACATCGGCTCAGGCAACGAAGACCGTCATGGACAGATGTGTAAGCGTACCGGCGAGGGATGCTCCTGGGCGCAATGGTCGCAGCTGAGGGTGCCACATGAGTCGACATCGAAATCAATGTAACCTCGTTGGTGAGTACCCGGTCACAGGACGTATGGACATGTAGACCCGGCTGGAATGCAAGAAGATGAATGCAAGAACTGTGTCTGAAGAATTGCGATCAAGACGCGGCTGGACAGAAACTGGAGAATCTATCCAAAGGGGGTATGGTTTGGGAGCAGACCGTGTACAGGAAAGGCTTCCTGCGATGTTGCATGCTGCTAGCGCGGTCAAGGCTCCCAGACTGGCTATACCCCTCGCAAGCAGCAACGAACTCACCAGGATGAGTGTCCAAGTCGGTTCAAGCTGTGAGGACAACATTACATGGCACTTCCTGCCCAGTTGCATGCTAGCGCAGCTCTAGCGCCCTACTGTCTGAAAAGTTGCGATGCAGACGCGGCTGGACAGAAACTGTAGAATTTATCCGAAAAGGGTATGGTTTGGGAAAGGGCCAGGTCGAGCAGGAGGGAAGGATGAGGTCCAGCAGGAGGGTGTGCAGGTCCAAAAGAAGGGTAGCCATCTCCAAAAGAATTGTAGTAAGGTCCAGTAAAAGTGTCCAGGTCCAAAAGAAATGTAATGAGGCCCAAAAAAAGTGTTTTCCCTCTTTTTCTAGCCTCATCGTTTGCGTCGGTTTGCCTTGGCTGCCAATTTGGCCAGACTTCGTTTCAAGTCTTGCTTGCTGTTCCAACGATAGGCAAAAGACATCAAAAGACCATACATATGTTTCAATTCTTTGGGAATCTCTCTTGTTTCTTTTGTTTTTGGTAGACAGAGAAAAGGGAACGTGTTGCACTGATTCGATTTTTCCACCTCATACAAGATTCAGTTCATT